TTGAGAGGATCGTATCAGCGGAAATTTGAGACAATGCGATGATGTGCTCGGTTGGAATGAGGACAACTTCAGTATATCACAGTATTTTACCTACTGGCTGTTTCTTTTTCTGAATCGATAACTAACCGATCACGACTGTAGTAGGAAATAGAGCATCCCGTTCTGCCTTTGATGCTACCGCCCGGACTGATTGCGACGATATCAACGAAAGTGATTTTGCTAAGCTGCTGCAGTTAGCAGTTTCTGCTCAGATAGCTGTTTACCTCCAAAGAAAACTCGCTGCTTCCAAACCCCAATTAAGCTCGCTTTTCCCGCAGTTATGTTTGACAAGCGGTGATGTGACATATATTATACCAACTATCAAAAATCAGTAACACAGCATTTACCAGGAGCGACTTCAGGGTGCATTTGTTGATTAGATGTAAAGGGAGAGGTTCGATTCAGCCATGTGCACAGGAAGACTCGAGCTTTTTGTGATTCAGAGGGACGTTGTTCTACTTTCGTACTGACACTCAGCATAGGCCTTAGTTTCATACAGAACACTGTGAAAAGGGTATGAGTCAGCATGCAAATCACCTGGGCGGTAGCAGCAGATGACTCCCTTCTGGGAGAACATTTAAAGACCGCCGTCACACTCTCAGAAATGTAATTACTGTGAGCTCCAACAAGTTCAGCCTGCAGGACGAGCGTTCAATTATTTCAACTCGGTAAAGTTCTATAATACAGTTTCTCCTTCGTTTGCTCTGTGGACTGGAATCACTTTCATTCTGCTTTGATTCTACAACCATCTGGAGCGATGTTTCAATCGAAATATGTTTGGTGCCGTGGTCCATGGGTTACCCATTGCTCTCCTAGATGCAGTAGGGACTATTAGCCAGGTGGCCCTAAAGTTGGCCGCGCCTACCATTGCGTTGCAATCGCGGCACTTGGAAGGTTGCTTTCTAAGCACCCGTTTCAGACCCACAGTTTTCCTATATGCCCCGCGCCTCCTGTCGACAACACACTTCTGGGTAAGTGGTGAATGGTGGGTAACCAGTGAATAGGTTGTCGTGCGGGGATCATTGACAGGGTGGTCGTTCTGACGCCACCATTTCACATATCCTTGCGATGCACACTAAAGGTTGCACCAGCGTCGTTTCATTTTACCCTGTCCCTATTCATCCGACGTTTCCTGGGGAGTGGTTCGTTTAGGCAATTCGGAGTCGTCCTAGAATCCTAGGTGGAAGCTGTTCCTCTGAAGGCACAATGGGCAGCGAGAGGTGGCGTCGTGCCTCGGCATATGATAAGCTCGTCCAATGAGGCGTACCACTTGTAACTTGCGTTTCCACTTGTGTGTGCACGACAGGACAACTAGGGGCTAAGGATTTTCTGATGGTACTGACGTTTCCATCCGCCATTCGATACTCCATGAGTGCTGCTCGTTTGATCGCTCACTGGTAATGCGGCTGGGGTGTGATCGAGGAAGATGAGGCCTTTTGCCAGAGTGATTGCAGCCTTTTCCTCTGGAAGTCGTCGTAAACTCGGAAGGGTATGGCATTCCAGGCAGCAACATCACATCTGACACATTAAGGTGGTCCAAAAGTTCGTGACAACTTCGGAACTTTCTAAAATGAAGTTTCTTTCAATGTGAAGCAAATTCTGTCAAAAATGATATGTTACCTCTATCGACAACTTGTTGCCAACCACCAATCAAAGAATGGTTGGCTTGCTTCCACAAGCTTTTTGGTTCCTGCCGAGTAAGGCGGCTGGGTGTTTTCTGAGATGCTTTGGAGAATCGTATTTTTTACTCAATCAGTGGCTGCTGAGAGATGGCAATCAGAAAGAGCTAAGCCAAGGCTACACTGCAAACAGTGCGGTGGATTTCCCCAGCTATACTTCAGGATCTCGAGCGAAGTCATTTTGGAACGTGAATCGTGGTGAAGTAGGGAACATTGCTTGGTTTGGGAACAAAGATGGTGGGATTTTCATCCTCTCTTCGCAGTTGTTTACAATAGGACTAGCTGGTCACCACAGCGCTGACGCTGAGAGGGAGAAATCCCCTGTTGTAAAGTTCATCACATACATGGTATCGCCCCCCTACTGAATTGATACGATAGGCCCTAGGCACTGGCGCTTTCGGGAGTGCTTCACCTAGAGACACTTCCTCCATATTCATTTATGACGTTATTCAACCAATCCGCATAGTGGAAGCGAGAAAAAAAATTGTAGGACTACCGACATGCGCTCCCCTTCGAGTATCTGTCAACTCACGGGGAAACTTTGGACCGATTTTGAATGCTCTTTTGAGGAAGTGAGGATCTCATTTGTGCTTCTGGTACAGTCAAGTGTGAGGACTAGATAGTGAGATGATTCGTAGAACTTGTTCTAATCAAGGAAACAGTACCTCTTGACCCAAGGCGGATGGCCTCTTTGGAAGGGTTTGTCTCCCAGGTGAAAGTTACCTGAACGAAAGTGATCGGGCTATTTCAACGCCGTACTATGGTATAGCGTCAGGACTTGACTCACTCATCATCAGAGAGCACTTGTCGCGTGTGGCTTCAACCACGTTGTGAACTTGGTGGAGATTCATATAGCGAAGTGTGTCGAAAATGATGAATTTCAATTACCGTTTTGGATATGAGAACAGCGACTGCGAGGGAGGTAAAGCAACTGTGGGATGCTTACTTAACACACTTCCCATAGACCACATAAATGGATCTCGAAATAGCTGCGGAAAGATCTGATTCGAGAATCAAAGAAATGTCGCGAACCTTTGAGACACCCTAGTATTAGGTTGTCCGGAAAGTTCTCAGCGTTTTGAGTGTTTCACTTTAAACGATCATAACTTTCTTAATACTCATCGGATTTAATCGAAATAAGCACCGTTCGAATCAGCACACTTTTGCCAATGTGACACCAGTCGATAAATCCCATCAAAGAAAAAACTGGGTGGTCGAGAATCCACGAAGGCTTTTTTTGCCTGGTCCTGATTGATGAAGTATTTTCCAGCAAGGAAGTTCTGAAAATGTTTGAAAAGGTGATAGTCGGTTGGTGAAAGGTCTGGAGAATATGGCGGGTGAGGTAGAACTTCAACCCCCAATTCGTTCAATTTATGGATAGTGATTTGTGAAACGTGTGGGCGGGCGTAAGTAAGTAAGTAAGTTTATTACGTGTGCATAAGGCATACGTGAGAAAAAGAGAACATAACCCATTGCGTATACAAGTTCAAATATTGATATTAGTTGTTTGAAAACAGTGATTAACCAGCAAAACACTAATTTATCGACCAGTCTCGAGAGAGCTAGACCCACCATACCTTAACAACCTTTTGGAAATACGGTGTCTGAACTGAGCATGTGACAGAACGGTAGGTATGGCTTTTGTTAATTTCAAATACGAGCTGCCCGCCCTGAAGGTAAAACTTTTGGCACGTAAATTAGTTTTAGGTTTAGACAAATAGATTTTCATGGGACCACCTCTAGTGTTCGAATGAACCATTCTGAAGACATGATTGGAACCGGAACCATGTGCCCTTTTAATTAGCTTGTGAACTAAACAAAGATCGAAAACATTCCGTCTAGACTCCAGAGTTGATAATCGTAGTAGTTTATTCCTGTTTGGGGCATTCGGCATTTCTGAGTAGACAATGTTACTAGCTCTAATCATTAATTTATGAGTGAAGCTATTTTGTACCCTCTCAAGCGCGTAAATGTGCTTCTTTTTCGTAGGGTTGAATACCGTTGTACTAGTTTCTACTAAGGGTCTAACATAGGTCTTATAAGCACGCAACAACACTTGTGGGTTTGTAGTGGATAGCCCAAACAGTTCGAGAGATTGCAGAAAGGCTAGGCGTTGTCATGCAAAAGAATCGGACCCTTTCTGTTGACAAGTGCTGGCTGCAGCTAACCCAATTTTCGGTGCATTTCGTCGATTCCTTCCAGTAGGGTTCTGCTGTGATGGTTGCTCTGTGATAAAAAGTTATAGTGCCGATGACCACCAAACTGTGACCAGAATCTTTTTTCGTGAGGATTCGGCTTTGGAAATTGCCTCGGTGGTTCGTCGAAATCCAACCACTGTCCGGAACGTCTCCTGTTATCATACATGATCCACTTTTCATCACAGGTGACAATTCGGTCCAAAAACGGGTCGTTTCTGTTGCGCAAAAGCAGTGAAGAAGAAACCTCGAGACGTGCCAATTTCTGCCGGTCACTCAAATTGTGGGGCACCCACTTGTCGAGTTTTTTCACCTTCCCAATGTTTCAGACCATCCGCAACAGTGGATTTGCCAACGCCTAGCTTTTCTGCAATCTCTCGAACTGTTTGGGATGGGTCAGCCTCCACAAACCCTTCAAATCCTCGTCAGGTATTGCTTTAGGTCGACCGCCGAGGTTCATCTTCAAGGCTGAAATCTCCAGAACGAAATTTGTCGAACCATTGTCGCACGGTGCTTTCTCCAACACTATTGGGCCCCCACACCTGGTTAATTTGTCGAGCTGTCTCGACTGCGGATTGACCCAATTTTTAGTTGAAGAAAAATATCGTCCGAAGTTGCTCTTTTGACATGCTTCAAAAAGTCTTGGGAAAAGGGGTTTATCAAGCAATGGTGAAACGGCAATTATACCATCAGATAGCGCAAAAATTCTCTTCAGGATGTACTACTGAGACGCAAGGGAGAATGAGTTTTTAATCAGCAATGAATGTACAAAAATAGTAACACAAAACGCTGAGAACTTTCAGGGCAACTTAGTAACTACCCAATGTTCTGGCAACGTTGGCAAAGGTTATGTACATATTATAAGTTTTCAGCATGTGGCTACTGCAAGCATGTTTCCTGGTCACCCTGAGTGTCGTCGGTTCTGCACCTACAAATTTACCCGATACAAACGATGTCGCTGTTCCAGAAGCACCTGAGAAGTAGGAGTTCGCATAAACTTCACACCTCACTGCTTTATCATTGTCACCGCACTCTTGTCCTTCTGCTCACAATAACCAGTTCTCTGGAAATGTTTTATTTTTTCAGCATGACAATCACCCGCTCCAAGAGATATGGTTATGGCTATAGCACCGCAGGAGGAAGTTATGGCTATAGCACCGCAGGAGGAACTGGATGGGGTGGCGGTTATAGCTACCCTTACAGTGGATGGAGCAGTGGTTACAGCTACCCTTACAAGGGATATAGCAGTGGTTATAGCGGATATATCAGCGGTTATAGCTACCCTTACAGTGGATGGGGTGGCGGTTATAGCTGGGGTGGGGGTTATAGGTACCCTTCCTTCGGATGGGGCGGTGGATACAGTGGATGTTGTGGCGGTTATAGTTACCCTTCTAGTGGATGTTGTGGCGGTTATGGCTCTGGTGGATGGAGCACTGGATTTACTACCTTATATCTTATTCCAGTGAGTTCGTACGGTAGCGGATGGGGTAGTGGATGGGGTGGTGGATATACCCGTCCATGGAGTGGGTACGGTGGCGGATGGAGTAGTGGATATACTCGGAAAGGGTATTATAGTGGATACAGCAGCGGATATGCTCGCCCCTGGAGCGGTTATGCAAAAGGATCATATGGATACGGATAATGAAGGAACGATTATAGCAGCTTTCTATCGAGCAGCAGTGTTTCTATTGTCAGACACAGCATTGCTAACTTCTGACAAAGTAATCATGGTTGTAGCCATTATAAAATAGTACAGTAATAAAGTATTTCTTTCACATTTCGGTATTTGAGCCCCTGCAGCGAGTACAGAATGCCCAAAATAATTACCACATTCTATCGCGGTCGCCGATATCTCAGCTTTTTATTCTGAGTTCAAGTCCAAAGTTGACGCTGGCGAAATTGTTGTTAGGTGAGCAATTCATTTGACTTTAGGATTCTGCCCATTTGAATTCAAGATTCCTGGCATGAAGGCAGTCGGTACCAGGGTCAAGCATCAAATCGCGGAAAATTGGAAGGTTTGCACGATCCCCCTCTAAATAGGCACTTCCGTACAACCCCCTCCCCTTAGTGAAGGTGTGGTGTGTGGGGGTATTTGCTGTGTTCATCAGGATATGGCTTCATGTGTTGTGTGTCAAGCTAACTTTGCCGAATGACTTTCTGAGTATCTGTACTCATGCACCAATCGAATCGAACAAAGGCTCTAGAAATCGAAGAAATTAGCTCCAAAGAAGTAGTTTAATACGCAAGTGGGACTTCGAAAAGACTCACAACGACGCCGTCCAAGCGAAACACAGGAAGCCCACACAGCTTGAGCCCCCTGCCGCTGCGCGGGGTGGAGGGGAGACTGGAGTGTTATCGGCCCTTTGCATTCACATCGTATTTTTTGAGAGGGTATACCTTCTCTAAGAAACTATCATTCGCAGAGAAAGAAAGAAGGATCCGAGTTGTATGGCTATACTCTACACGAAATATCTTCTTCTTTTCTTTCTTTCGGTTTCTTCAAGCTTGTATGGTGGCTTTTGGCCAGTAAATAACGCGGAGAATTTTAAGCAAATGCGATTTCTTCATATTTCAATGGTAACGACTTTGCTCAGGCATAACATATTTAGACGTAGATCCGCATGGCACTAGAAACAAGAATTTTCACATTCGAATGAGCACAACAGCTTTGCTGTAGCTCAACTTTTGCTAATGTTCGTCGCAGAAAATTACGAAATAACGCGGACAGTTTCTGGCAAACGAGAAGTTTTTACCTCTCAGAAGCCGTAAAGTTGACAGGGTATGGTGCGGAAGCGGAGTGTTACAAGGCGCCAGGACTTAGAGGGTTTCCTCTTTCTAAGGAACGTATTATCTTTGCTGAGCTAACTATAGCGAAAGTTCGTTTGTCCAGGATTCCCATTGAAAATTCAGTTTCATCTGTAGCATGATGACCCCCCCCCCGGCGAAGCCGACATTTCCATCTAGAAAGCCTCGTGGGCCTCCTGTACATCTCGTCTTCATATAGTGAATAGAACTGCAGCACAAAGGTGCCGATGAACATCTGGAGTGCGCCATGCACTTGACTTCCTTTCAGACACATCACTCATCCTGCAAGTTACGCGCTGCTGTGTTCATCTTGATCCCTGCAAATAGGACACCCCCCCCCACTCCCTACGGGGAAGGGCGAATATGAGCGGCTGTCGCGGATTCCGCGACATATACTTGAGCCTGTTCGGTACCATATGTGCACATTAGTTGGGTTCATCCTGGTACGTGCACTACATATTCTTGTGACGCAGTAGTTGCGGCTGCGCACAAGTTGAACGTGGCGTAGCATGGATTATATTTGAGAAATTTTAGTTGAAATCAGCTCTTATGTTGGCTTGTGATAGACAAAAACGTGGTTATAACAGTCCTAACATGAAAATATTAGGCTGGAAAGAAGGTCCTGTCAGCGATTTTTTGGAAAGCTCACAGTTTTCGAATCCTTGATGCTCGAACATCACGTAACATGCTATGCTTGTAGAACATTCTAGGAGCTTTCCTGCAAGAGGTGTGTGAGGGCGCCTGCTCTTCCCTGGGTTAATTACGATGTCAGTTTCACAGGAGCATCTTCGGGTCATCATCTATCGGTGGCCTCGCGGCACTGGAGCCACGGCAGCTGTCCGCAATATCAACTGTGCCTTGCTGGTACGGTCCACGGAGTGGAAGAATCGACCATTCTCGAGCAGGCGATGAAGGATCCGGAAGCTACCACCCGCAGTCTTGCGACAAGACTCGGATGTACCTAACTGACAGTCGTCAACCGCCTGTAAGCCTTGACTACCGAGTACTGGCTCGATGGATCACTCATGCCTTGACCGATGGCACGCTGTGCACCCGGGTACCCCTTGGTCAGTCTCCCCTTCTCCTGCCCTCGTCAAAAGGAGTTTCTAGGAGACTGCTTAGTGGAGATGAGAGATGGGTCCTCTGTGATTTCAATTCACACAGTACCGTGTGTCTCTCACAAGAAGAGCCATCTTAGCAGTCCAAACCGGGCATGTATTCCGAGAAGGTTCTCCTGTGCTGCTCCTGGGACGCGAGGGGAATGCTGCACAACGAGCTGCCCTGTAAGAACACACGGTCACCGCTACCATTTGTGTCGCTCAGCTCCAGAAACCGGTGGAAACTGTTGGAGAAAAATGACCGAGACTAGCTTCGGGCACCTCGTTCGTAGTACGCGAGACCCCATACCTGCTATGGAGACCTACCAAATAATTGAGGAGCAAGGCTGGGAGACCAAACCCGCTCATCATATTCTCCTGACGTAGTCCCTACGACTGCTACCTGCTCCGCCTCCTTAAGGCTTTCTTAGCTAAGAAAACTTTCAGCAACTTTGATGACATCAGTCGAGAGGCTGCCGACTTACTCTACTCGCAGCCTCCTCAATGCTGGCGAATGCTTACCTGCCCATTAGGTGGAGCACTGCAGTGGCTAACAACGACGTGTGTACTTTGGCCAAGTTCCACTGTATGTTGAAATAGAAAATAAAAAAGAAAAATCACAACTGTTTCAAGGCTCTCTTTCCAACCTACTAGTTCATTGATACAGGAGCTGCCCCCAACCTTCGAAAGAGTGTTTAGTAACGCCTACCGTCTTTCGGGTCTTTTTGCATCAAATGTATGGCAGTAATTACCTCCGACTTCATATGATCAGACGTTTGATTAAGACGTTGAATACACTATGAGCCACCGGTGACTTGTATGCGAGAGGCCAGGGAAACAGTATGCCGATGACTCATAACATCTTGTACCACTTTTTGAGTTAATAATGTCGTAAATTTCTATCGTTCTTTTTTATGTTTTCTTGTTACTTCTTTATGACAGAATTCGCGAACAACCTGCGAAACGTTTGTGAATAGCAGAATTGGAAACACAATGTGCTAGCTGACCTGACTCACGAGCGTCAGTATATTTCCGAAGTTTACCAAGATGAAATATGAGTGGGAAGTTGCGGGACCAAACCACAGCTAGGTCATTGACGTTTTTTTTCATTAAATGCTTCTGCTGCATCCTCCGCTGATTTCTTAGTAATCATTAAAAGCAAAACACTGGATGTAACTTGACTGGAAATTGTCAACAACAAATAAATTGAACAGCTTCTAAGCGATTTGCGTTTTCTTGTTACTTCTTAATGACAGATTCGCGATCAGCCTGCGAAAAAATTGTGTGTAGCAGAATTAGAAACAAGAAATGAGCTAACTGACCTGCCCGTGAAGAAAAAAAAGAAAGGAAACCGTGGAGAAGGCCTCAGATAAGGCCCTATATGTATCTCGCGGAAGACAAAGAATCAATGTGGATGGAGAGAAAGAGGCCAGAGAAAATAGCGGTAGAGCATGCCAACGAAGGAGAACATAGATGAGACATCTATCAATTAGGCGGGGTCACTTGAACCTTGTGCCTTTGTGCCACTACCTTATCACTTCTTGACGTGAAACTTAAACAGGGTAGTTCGCTGCAATTCACACTACCCACTCCAGACGAAGAGTTCAGCCTGGTTATAAGTGATCGTGAACTCTGCCCTCGAAGGTGAACGTGCGGCAGGGATGGGCGATTAGAATGTTTCCGTATTCATGAGATTTTTTTAAATGAATATTTCAACCAGCTACTTCTGCCAGAGACCTTCAAAATATTTTTTGAATGAAACCTTGACCGAAGAGATTGCTGGGTCTCCTAATCACGAATATAACATCGCATTTGTCGTCGTGAAATATGGCGAAAGTGGGAGCTGTTTTGGAGCTAGCAGCCTCTGGTACCAATTTTGAAATAAACTTCTATATCTGGCTTATTTGATACCAGTCGGATCGGCCGCTTCGCCGGGCGAATGGTCCGAAAAAATATTGTTTTGAGAATTACCGCACTTTACCGTTTCACTTCTTGTATATACCCCCCTAGAAAACAGTCATCAAAATTTTCTATGCGGCACTCCCCTTAGTGATGAGGAATCGAAGAATAACCTATTGCCGACGGTACCAACCATTTGGTATACTCCCTACGGTTATCCCTCACTAACTTCATCTGCCAAACCATTGCTCAGTTTCACCTTACTCCCCATTTCGTGGGGTTTTTCGGGTGCGTTTTGAGGGTTTTTGTCCTCGGCACCGTTCACTTCGGCGAACGCCCCGCCCATCAGGGTGTGCTTCATCGATTTCGTCCGCCAACTGATTGCCTATCGTTTGCCACTTCTCCCACTCTCTGAGCTCTTTTGGAACCGAACTACGAATTTTTGAAAAATGTAGCTCACTAATGTGCGCACGCCCCGCCCACAGTGGGCGGGGCTTAGCTTAGTTCATGTGTGTTCCGTACATCTTGGCCCATGCCCTACCCAACCCACCCTTGACCCGCCCCTCCAACTGGCTCTTCAGGTGATTCCGAATTTTCGCAGACAGAACAGACAGACAAACAAGTACGTGCCCGTTTATTATATACGTAGTGACTCTTGTTACAAACATAATTATTTCATTTATTTCCCATAATTACACTCGAGTGTGGCCCATAAGAGACTAAATATAAAAAATACACCGTGAAAGGACCATGGCGGAAACTACAGATGGGCTCGACGCATTAACGCAACCATGAACCTGACATCCGATAACAAACACGAGTCCTGGAGACTGGGCGCTAA